TTTTTTTTGCTGGCAGTGTTCTCCATATAAAAGAAAATTGTCGCACATACTTTTGTATGGAAAAAACGTGAAACACCTTCAACAAAAAAAAAAAATCATTTTTGTGAGCTGTCTGCAAATGTTTTTTAATGTTGGCTGTTGCTTCACCTGAACATTTGAGAAGAAATTCCAAAGAATCGGCGAAAAAGGCCCTCAATTTTGCTCAATTTTGTGCCTATTAATCGGTCGGACTCTACTTTTTTTAGGTGTTTAGGTCCGTACCTAGAATTCGGAAAACTCGGGATAAAAAGNATTCCAAAGAATCGGCGAAAAAGGCCCTCAATTTTGCTCAATTTTGTGCCGATGCCGATTAATCGGTCGGACTCTACTTTTTTTAGGTGTTTAGGTCCTAAAAATCCATTTCCTGGTTACAAAACTACGTACCTAGAATTCGGAAAACTCGGGATAAAAATTTTAAAATTTAAATGAACATGTGTTGAACTTTTCTGATTTCTGTACAAAGTTGAAAATTCGCATTTACGCAGTTTAAAAAAAAATGAGGGTGTCATTTATTAAAAATATCAAACATTAAACAAAAAAATTAATTTAGCCCAAACTTATCAAAATAAGGTGTTCATATTATTTCTGCCTCAAATATATCTTAAAAGGATAGGATAACTATAAATATGCAAGACAATGTAAATGTCGGTAAAAATATGCCTTAAGTTTTACTGTTTAAAAACTCACCTATTTCAGCATCTCCTATGCCGACATCTGGAGTATCCTTTTCGCTTGTTTCATCCTTATCTGTCTCCGCTTCTGCCTCTGCATCCTCTTTTTCGGCATTCTCTCGCGCCAGTATGGCTTGTTCTTTTTCTGCTTCAGTCACTTCGCTTTCGGGATCATCTGGTATAAGACATATATCCGAATCTTCTGGCTCTTGAACATTTTCAACTGGTTCTAAAATGTAATAAGATGTTGTTACGACACATTTTTTAAATAAAAGTATGTGCATAGATATGTACANACATATATCCGAATCTTCTGGCTCTTGAACATTTTCAACTGGTTCTAAAAAATAATAAGATGTTATTACGACACATTTTTTTTAATAAAATTATATGCATAGATATGTACATATGTAGATATGTATAAGACTTACCATCTTCCCGTTCTGGTTCGGCTTCAGCATCTTGGCCCGCCATTGTTTCAGTGCCTTTTTCCGCTGGCTCGGATTCGTCCTCAGCCGTATTTTGCTCGTTTCCATCATCATCGCCAGCATTGCCGGCGCCAGTTCCTTCATTATTTGCCATATCTTCCTTTCCGCCTATATCGGTTTTACCATCATCATCAACAGCTTCAACATCTTCCAACGCTTCCATACTGATATCATTTTGCTCAGCAACCTTATCATCATTATCACATTCTGTAATTGGATGTGTTGCCACATTGGCAGAAGGCGAATTGCTTACGGATGTTTGGGCCTCTGTATCAGGTTCCGCTTCTCCTTCACCCAATGCACCAGCATTAACTTGATTATCCACTTCCATGGATTCGACTGACTTGTCAACTGGTTCGCCCTCCACTTTCTCAGTAGCTGTCGGCAAAGTCATATCAGACTCCCCTAACATATCTGATTCTTCGGCGGCTGCGTTGTGGCCACCGCCAGACACATTCGCATCGACTTCTTCGAAATCTGCGGAATCTTGTGTTTTAGTTTCGGCCAAATCTGCTTCTTTGCCATCTCCCTCACCTCGATCACCTTCACCACTTGCCACCTTATCTTGTGTGTTACTTCCATCATCTTTGGGTGGTCCCGAAGAAGTGCCATTTGAATTTTCATCTACCTCAAATGACCCCTCTGAAATTTGCTCGAAATCTTCATCATTATTACCATCTTCGGTATCTTTAGTGGCATCGCCATCGACCGCTTTGTCCATTGATGCTTGCGATGTGTCTTCGTCCAACTTGGGTGGCTCCGACTCAGGACGTGCGTTTGACTCAGCGTCAGTGTGAAAGGAATCTAAACTTGATATTTCTTCCATTGGACTACAAATAAACTCTCTAGCAGTATGTAAACCTTAAACATTAACTAAAAAGAATACAAATTAAAGTATATAAGTAAATAATAGGATAATTGTGAAGCTTAATAAAAAATTTGGCAATAGAGATTTCTTATTCAACAAGCATCCTACATTCTGAAGCGGCATTATTTTAGATTTCTAATATGGCGCATTTTAGCATACAAAACATGATCATAAAACTTGTATCAAGTAATAGCAGTATCTGGCTTCTGTTGCACATAGGGCACTTTGCCCAAGTTTTTCCCGCCGCTACACTGCAGAGCACTCAGTAGAAGTGATAGGCGCGTTTGACTCGCCAGAAGAAGACCTGCGTGCAATCCGATATATGTTGTTCGACATATTTCATCGCGAAAGACAAATTAGCAAATCCATTTGATAATTCGAAAATTTCATTACAAAAAGGGCAACATTAATAAACAATTTGGCGCAAAGTGTGGTAATTTTATTAACCAATATATATTACTAGTCACTGGTAACAAGGTGTATGCACAGTGTGGCTACCCTGAAAGTACAGCACGCACAGTGGGAGCAAATACTTGTATGAATACATCGACCGCCAAACCGTCCCCCTCACTGATAAAAATCACTTCATTATTGCCGGCGACTGCTTTATTACCTATATACATGCACACACCTCGTTGTTTGCCAAAAAAAAAACCATTAAATAGTTTGCCAACGCACATGAAGCAAATTTTCTTTAAGCAAATTTTGACTGATTTCCGATATAATACGACTTTTAACAGATACGGAATGAGGCGGAAAGTAATGACATAGGAACGGAACGATTTTCGATCCATAGAACAAAACTCACTTTTGTTGTCAATTTTAGTTTTCCACACGGTTTTTTACACTTTTATAATAAACGCACATGAACAATCTTTATAAAATCGTTATTATTTCAATTTATACTTTGTTTTGGTTAATATTTTATGGCATACGAGCCCAAATTTTTTCCACAAAAAACGTTTGTAAATAGCACGAAAAATTGTAGTTTACCTCCAATCGGCTTCGCCAGAAACATAACTCTATAAATTTCCAACAGTGTGGCTGTATTGTGCGGCGGAAAATGGCGCAAGCACAAATTGTCAATGTTGGAAGTGTTCGGAAAAGGCTTTGAACACTGAACTATTATTTTCATAAATGTTATTATGGTTATAAATATTTGTACAACTGCATTAATAATACCCTGATTTAATTATACTTTTGTATGTATACCCCTGTTAAAGAAAACTTTAAATTATTAAGGGAATTTCAATGAACAGTCACCGTTCAAAATTTTGTAATAGATCATTTAAGTAAAAGATCAAAAAGCGAAGAATTAAAATAAAGGAATGCTGAGGCATCAAGTCGTGTAATTTACGTATCAAAAAATATAGAGCGTTTGATTTTCAAAGAAACGCAGACCACAAATGAAATTATGCAAGAATACATATTGTCCAGCCTACGACTTATTCATTTTATATTCGATTGAATAAAATTTCCTACGTAATTGGCACAAAAACAAAATGGCCGATTATTAAATAGTTGTTCCTTTTTCACACATTCCTCTATGTTATACACATTTTTTCCTAGTTGATATGGTAATGGAACAAAATGTACATAATATACACGTGGATTTGAAACTAAATCTTCGAAACAAATGCATATGCAAATTTAAAAGGTAGTTTAAAATGTCATAATCTCATTAGTTCATATAGTTTATGCATACGATTAAGCACTAGGGTTNTACGTAATTGGCACAAAAACAAAATGGCCGATTATTAAATAGTTGTTCCTTTTTCACACATTCCTCTATGTTATACACATTTTTTCCTAGTTGATATGGTAATGGAACAAAATGTACATAATATACACGTGGATTTGAAAGGAAATCTTCGAAACAAATGCATATGCAAATTTAAAAGGTAGTTTAAAATGTCATAATCTCATTAGTTCATATAGTTTATGCATACGATTAAGCACTCGGTTCTTATTTTTTATTGGTGAGCATTAAACAACCCTGAAAGAAAGTAAAAGATTATAAAATCTAGTACAAAAAATCTGATGACAAAAATTGTAGATTTAAAACATTTTAATTTTTCAATTTTTTCTTCGAATTCTTCCCCTCCCAGGTCTATTCCGCTCTGGTAATAAACATTTTGTAATCGGTATATAAAGTGCTCGTAAATATATAAACCCTTTCCGCATTTTACGCGCTCTTGTAGCCGGCGACCATCTTTAGCCTGTTCCCGTCCTCCAGGATCTGCAGGTTTAACAGGATATACAGGAAAACATGCAAATCCTGGAGTACGGGAACAGGCTACATACCTATGTATAAGCTGGTAAACAGGGCTGCCAGCTATCCTTAGCTATGAGGTACCAAATTGGTGATAAAAAAGTGCAAAAATGTGCCATATAGAAAAATAAAAGTGCCAAAAAAGATGCCATCCTCTTTAGTCCTTCCCATTTAATTTGCACGCAAAGATATGATCCTGAAAGAGATCTGGTTCAATTTATGACCCGCTCTTTTTGGTTTGTGTCANTGCTCGTAAATATATAAACCCTTTCCGCATTTTACGCGCTCTTGTAGCCGACGACCATCTTTAGCCTGTTCCCGTCCTCCAGGATCTGCAGGTTTAACAGGATATACAGGAAAACATGCAGATCCTGGAGTACGGGAACAGGCTACATACCTATGTATAAGCTGGTAAACAAGGCTGCCAGCTATCCTTAGCTATGAGGTACCAAATTGGTGATAAAAAAATGCAAAAACGTGCCATATAGAAAAATAAAAGTGCCAAAAAAGATGCCATTCTCTTTAGTCCTGATAATATGGCAGTACAGTTTGGTAGCTTGCTTTAAATAAATTTGCTTTATGTTAAATATTTGTTTAAGTGAATATTATTTAGTTTAAATGTACTTTTCCCCATTTAGTGAGTTAATTTTTTTAATGTCGTGTTCATCGTGTTAATGGTATAAAATTAGTGCTGCAACTTCAATACGAATGATCTAGACCGTTTCCGTGAGAAATGAGCGTGATAAGCTGGATAACCCAAATAAACACAACTATTCTTACAAGACAAGACAAATCGGAATATGTCGTATCATTGTTCTACAGAAATGCTATATAGATACACTTCTTTCAGACGAAACACCTTAAAAGCTTAAACGCATAATAAATTTGGAAAATCACATCCATTGGGCCAATCGTAACTCGATATACACAATGGTGCAACAGGGCGATTTAGTCTGACTTTCACGGCACCTTTTCTCACTTGGCGATTTTTAGTAATAACTCAACTCCAACGCCACTGACAGCTCTTCTTTGTAATATTATTTCTCTTACCGTTACCAATACATATTTTAAATATCGGATAAATCGGATTATTAATAGCTTTGCTTCTTAACAGATAATTATCACAAATTATCACTGATTTCTGCTGGAAAGCGTTTCTTAACCCAAAAAACTAGCAGAAATTAGCTGCTGCTCTCTCGTTTTTACGCTCTTCTATTTTTGGCTCTCCTGCTAATTTCTGCTCGTTAAATTAGTACAGATACCTCCGTACCGTCAATTCGTTTCAAGTTTTCTTGCCTCTTTTGATCTTTTCGTTGCTTCCCATTTAAAGAACCAAGGACTTGAATTCAATTAAAGTTGACGCGTTTGGAAGCAAATAGAAAACACAAAAGAGAATGCGAAAAAAATTGCTTTCAAGACTTGACGTGTCTGAAAGAGGACTTATATCACATGGCTTAAAGCGCACTTAGTCCCCTTTCAGACACGTCAAGTCTTGAAAGAAATTTTTATCGCATTCTCTTTTATGTTTTCTCTTCGCTTCCACACGCGTCCAGTTTTATTGAATTCAAGTCCTTGGATCTTTAAATGGGAAGCAACGAAAAGATCAAAAGAGAACAAGAAAACTTGAAACGAATTGACGGTACGGAGGTATCTGTACTCTACCCCTCTCTTCTCACCTCCTTCACCAACGAACGAGCAGACTTGAAAGCAAGACTTGACGTGTCTGAAAGGGGACTTAGTCAACGACGTAGCGTAAACCTAGTTTGACGTACGTAGCAGCATATCAAATTTGCTTTGATAGAGAGAGAGAGAAGCAACGGCAACGTCAACGCCATCCGGTGGCGAGTTTTCGTTAACACGCGAATCCCATAAGGTTTGTTTGAGCTTTAAAGGCTTCATTGTCCTGCTGGGTTGATTGTTGAAATAACGATTATTGTGAATAATAATGTGAAATTAAAGAGCCTGTCAGACGTGGCAATATTTACGTCTTTCGCACGCAATTCGCTGTCAAATTGAGAAAGAGAAATTTTATTTCGATGTGTGAACAGCCAGAAAGATCTTTCTGTCACCTTTCGGAAATCAGTTTCAGAAATAAAAGTTGCAAGGTGGGACTGCAACTGCAAGAGCGAAAATCGATTTCGGAAATATATTTCAACTTGCTCGTGCTGCACTAGCAATTTTTATTTCTTCTGCAAGTGCTGTCAAACTAATCGAGTGTTGCCGTGTGGCCCTGATCGTGAATTTGTGTAAAATGATAAAAAATATTGTTGAACTAAGTATCAAAAATGATTGAAATATATTATTTTGTTTAATATACTTCATCGTTAAATTATTGTTTACACGGTAAATATGTTAATTATAACCTACAAGAGAAATAGCAAACAAACGACAACCCCACCGCCCATGGTTGCATTTTAGTATCGAGAAAGATTGCCACAAACTCATTCGCTGTGTGAACAGCCAAAAAGCGATTTCAGAAATTTTTCCTGCAATTCGCCGTTCGGAAATAAAAACCTCTTTCGAATGACACTTTCCATGCAAGGTGTGACTGCTCATGCAACTGATTTCTCAATTTGACAGCCTTTCCGAAATTTATTGCATCGAAATATATTGCCACGTCTGACACGCTCTTAAGAGGAGTTTTTGTCTTGATTGTACTTTCCCTATTTTTATCTATTTTATCAACAATTTGTATCGCTTGATTCGCTTACGATTGTATTTAAGTGCCTCAGAAGAAAACCAAAGTTAAGATGTTTACTAAACGGTAATCAAAATAAGCAATACATTTTCTATCAAACTGATTTATACATATGTGTATAATATGCTCTTGCTTATGCAGAATGCCTAGCAGCAAGGAACGAAGACTGCGTCTACTGGAAGAAGACAATCATCTGGCAGACTGTGAATTTCTAGTCGGTGATCAAGCTTCCGAAGAACCACATCTTTTTCGCTGTCATAAGATGATTTTGGGGACTGCATCTGAAGTCTTTGAACGTATGTTCTATAGCGATTTTGTTGTTGTTGGGCCGGTGAGGGTTACAGAAGTAAGCCCAGCCAGTTTTAAACGTTTTCTGCGCTACGTTTACGTATATGAAATTGAAGTGGATCCTTTATTGTCACTTAATGAGCTGGGTGAATTATTTTATTTAGCGGATAAATACATGATGCAGGATTTGACCGATGCTTTGGTGGAGCATTTAAAACGAAAGCATAATTGGACATCGGGCGAGGTGTTGCCCATGTATGAATTGGCGTGTCTTCATGAAAACCTGCCTTTACTATTGCTTTGTTACGCGGTAAATATTCAGGTTTTTGTTTGGAAGTGTATTTACACGCGCCACGGTAACATATTACTGTAGATCCACAAAAAAAAAAATTAACGCAGATCCACGGTAAAAAATTACCGTATATCCAGGGTAAAAATTACCGTAGACCACGGTAAAAAATTATCGTAGACCACGGTAAAAAATACCGTAAATCTACGGAAAAAAAAACTTCCGGTAGATCCATGGTAATTTGTAAGTGTATTTGCCGTAAATCCACGGTAAAAATTACCGCGCTTAACCAGCTTTTAATGTAGATATGCTGTAAAAGTTAGTATCATTTTTTAAACGACCTCGAAGAAAAAAGGGCGAGGTTATGCGACATGTACATATACATACATACATATAGTAGCGTTCANCGTAAATCCACGGTAAAAATTACCGCGCTTAACCAGCTTTTAATGTAGATGTGCTGTAAAAGTTAGTATCATTTTTTAAACGACCTCGAAGAAAAAAGGGCAAGGTTATGCGACATGTACATATACATACATACATATAGTAGCGTTCAAAATAATAGCAGCAAAATTTAAAATGGTAGTTAATAATTTTCATTAAGTGGAAAAGATGTACTGGATCTGAGTAGCAAAATTAATGAAGAATTAACTACCGTTATGTAAGAATCAATTGTACCCCATATAAGATATTGTTCGACAATACTCTCGATGGCGAATACAAAAGAAATATCAAAGTCGCCGAAAAACTTTAATAAAGGAATGAGAGCAGTGCTGAATAAAAAGCGTAGTGAAAATGTTAACAATATGTTAAAAGAATTAGGATATTTATCGGTAGCAAATGAAGTATAAAGAGATGTGTTGACTTTTATTTATAGAATAGAAAATGGATTGCTTCCGGAATATTTAGAGTCTTTAGTAAGACGAAACTCGGATGTTCACCAGTACTTAATTAGACAGGCAAATCAATTTCACTAGGAACCTGTACGTACAAGTAAGGTCTTGAAATCAGTATTTAGTAACGGACTAGTAATGTATAATGCCGTCCCGCAGGAAATTAAACATGTTAGAACCATCGGATCGTTTAGAGAAAATATAGGTTTATGGCTAGATGCCAAAGCGATGTAACGAATAATGAATAAGTCTAAGTCTGATTTCCAGATATTATATGTACATGTGGGATAGCACTCGAAAATTGTTGCTAACATGGATCGGAAACTAGACCTTTTCGACCATGTCCAGCAGCCATCCACAGCGCAGAGCGGAAACGAGGTCTTTCCGCCTGCCTAACATCGACGAAGAAGTGGCAATGAAAGTAACGAATGAAGAAAACGCAAATCGCTCGAACACGGTCATTCAGACGGTTTGCCCAGCACGAAATAGAGCGGGACCGGTAGCATATGAGTGACTTCGAGAACATAGATCGGAAACTCGGCCTTTCCGACCATGATCGAAAGCTCGTTAGCAGAGGAGCGGAAGCTAGGCCTTTTCGCCTGATGCACATTAAGGTAGACTGGAGACTAGGCCTCGCCAGCTACGCGACTAATGTATTCGGTAGTTCTAGAAATATTGCAGCATATAAATATATATGTATGTATGTATGTATGTATACTTCGTAAGTGATATAAATATGCATGTACCTCGTGAATTCGCAAGACTGAAACAAAAATCAATAGGATAATTTAGTTTATAATTAAAATTTATAATGTCATAGACAACTGGCTTTTAATTTTAAATTTTTATTTGTATATAGGAATAATTGTATTAGCCGTAGGCTATTTTTTTTAATAAATAAATAAATAAATAAATAAATATGGGCCGATCTATATCAGATACCACATAAATAAAAGTTTCTAAGCTTATACGAATTTCAAAAAAATTAATCAAACTTAAAAAATTTGTCATCAAAATTTCAAACTTTTTAATCAGATTCTTTGGAAAATTTTCGGGTATGCGGTTTTTTAACCCATTCAATTTTTGATGTAATAAAGTGCAAGTTTCAACTCGCTACAAATTACCGTTGATTTTTTTGAATTTTTTTTCTATGGAGGGTGTTTNCAAAATTTCAAACTTTTTAATCAGATTCTTTGGAAAATTTTCGGGTATGCAGTTTTTTAACCCATCCAATTTTTGATGTAATAAAGTGCAAGTTTCAAGTCGCTACAAATTACCGTTGATTTTTTTCGAATTTTTTTTCTATGGAGGGTGTTGCGCATTTTCTTCCATATAAAAGTAGGTTTTGTTCATGCGTTATATGGAAGAAAATTCGGATCTACGGTAAAAATTACCATGGCGCGTGCGTATAAACACTACCTTTTAGTTTACTAACATTCAAATAGTATATCGATGTGTAATAATACTTCTAACACACAGGAGATTTCTAAATTTGCCGAAAATCTTCTCTCTGTGGACTCGTTCTATCGATTAAATGTTAATAATCTGAAACGACTAGTAATAGTATTATCCCAGCAATCTCACATATCTACAAAATTAATTTTACAACAATTGGAGGAATATGGTCGGCGTAATAATTTGCATAAAAATTGTGAGTCTGAGGAATTCTTTAAACTGGTAGATGCGGCCTGTCAACTAGATTTAAACAAATTATCAAGAGCGGATTTCGAAGCGGGTCCTGCCGTGTCATATTTGTTTAATAAGAAGGAAGCAAAATAGATACTGCATATTCTACAAAATATATTTTCGAATGTTTTGCGCTATATCGTTATAGTTTAATAAGTACATATATGTAGGTTTGCATAGTATGCATGTATACACTCACATAGATACTTATACATAATTATAATTGTTTATGGAGGCAACAGTGATGTTTTAAATATAATTCCTATACACAGACACCACAAATTTGTATTGCTTTTCTTGTACGAGTTAAAAAAGGAAGTAACTGCCTAGTGCACAGATAACAGTANAATTGTTTATGGAGGCAACAGTGATGTTTTAAATATAATTCCTATACACACACACCACAAATTTGTATTGCTTTTCTTGTACGAGTTAAAAAAGGAAGTAACTGCCTAGTGCACAGATAACAGTAAAAACATTTTCACAACTATAAAGTAATATTTATCTTTTATTTATTCTCATGATATTTCATTTGTTTTACAATAGAAAATCTACACAAGGTAAATTTTAATGTACAGATGAGTGGTGCGCATCTTGTAAACGCAAATCCAGCTCAAGTAGCATGCCGATACAGTTACAGATCAATTTTACATTGATTGCAATGATGCGAACGTAATCTTAACATTAAGAAATCATTACGTAGAATATTTTTATGAATAGGCAACATCTTGAAGTGCGCGCGAGAAAAAATGCGTTTTCCATTACATGTGCAATCATTCGCACTAGTTCATTAATATGGCAAAATTATTAAAAAGTAACTTACTTTAACTAATAAAGACAAGTTTTGCAACTCTTAAAATACATACACATACATACGCAAAAGCGTATTCTGATTTTTTTAGCAGTTTTTGCTTTGCAAGTGCCACAAATGTGTAAAGTAGAATTATTGAGTAATTTTCTTACTGTACTATGTTTAATGCAATAAGATCTAGATACATACATACATGTTATGTATTTTTCTTCGATATTTGCGAAATTGGCATTTCAATATATGTTTATAAATTGAGTTCCTTTGTGTTTATTTACGGCTTGGGGCATTGCCCATCTTTACATCGAACTTAAGAACGGCCAGTGTTCGCAGTTGAAGAATGCAGGAATACAACTTGACCGCAGGACCTAACTTAAGTCGAAGAATTTCGGTAAGGTCTGATTGCTGTAGCGAAAGCAGAGCGCTGCCATCGATATCTTCACATAAAAATGACTCTGTTGCCTCAGAGTTTCTCAAAACACATTGCACAAATGCACACGAGTCTTTTGTGGTCCAGAGTAGAGGATTTCGCTTGATGCGTTGCATGTCGAAGGCGACATTACGTTGCCAAATATTATAGTTTTGCTGCAGGCGTGGGCCATAATCGCAAAGAAATTCTTTTGCAATTTTTATTTGCGGTAGCAACAACGACGTAGACTCTTCAGCAGCACTTGTAGTGTCGACCGGATGGTGGGCTCTTAGTGCAGAAGCACTAGGCTTATCAGTGTGTTCTGTTTTAATCAATGATTGCTGCTGTGTTGTCGCTGTCGCAGTGCTAATCCTGTGGGCGCGTAGTTCGACCGTTTGTTTCTGCTGCTGTTTTTCCTGTAAATTGACGTGCCGTGTCTTTATATTGTCCAACAACTGTATGCGCTGCAAAATATGCGTTTCGCTCAGCTGTTGTTTTGGTTGTTGTTGTTTTGGTGTTTGTGGTTTCTTCCATTTCAGTTGAGGTGGTAGTTGTTGCTCTTGCATTTCACGTTTAGCGCGAGATAGTGGACGTATAATCTCCTCATGCTCCAAGCGCGGTGGTTTTTCAACTTTCTGACGCCAATTTTCGGGGGCATATGGACAACAATCTTGCGTTGTATGGGTATTTAGGTAAAGACGTTTAGCGTTGCCGATGCCGCGGCAACCGAAAGTTGAGCATACAATCTTGCTTGAGCGCATTTTGTAGCCCGGTGGTGGTTCTAATTCATGGCCAGTAGCTTCACACCAACCGATCGGATGCAAGTCGGCGCTATCATCTTCCAACCAGAAGCAGTAATTACTAGCCCAGCAATCGAGGTGTAACTTAACACGATGACCTTTGCGACCAACAACTGTAGCGGGACGTATTAGTGAAGGGTTTCGTGGATCGACCACCTCCAACTTCATATTTGGCTTGAAATCGATTGGATCGCGAGTAGAAAACATCTCTTCTGTTGCGGCCATGCCACTGCCATGGTTTTTTATGTAATCAGTCCATGTGAAGNAAAAACATTTTCACAACTATAAAGTAATATTTATCTTTTATTTATTCTCATGATATTTCATTTGTTTTACAATAGAAAATCTACACAAGGTAAATTTTAATGTACAGATGAGTGGTGCGCATCTTGTAAACGCAAATCCAGCTCAAGTAGCATGCCGATACAGTTACAGATCAATTTTACATTGATTGCAATGATGCGAACGTAATCTTAACATTAAGAAATCATTACGTAGAATATTTTTATGAATAGGCAACATCTTGAAGTGCGCGCGAGAAAAAATGCGTTTTCCATTACATGTGCAATCATTCGCACTAGTTCATTAATATGGCAAAATTATTAAAAAGTAACTTACTTTAACTAATAAAGACAAGTTTTGCAACTCTTAAAATACATACACATACATACGCAAAAGCGTATTCTGATTTTTTTAGCAGTTTTTGCTTTGCAAGTGCCACAAATGTGTAAAGTAGAATTATTGAGTAATTTTCTTACTGTACTATGTTTAATGCAATAAGATCTAGATACATACATACATGTTATGTATTTTTCTTCGATATTTGCGAAATTGGCATTTCAATATATGTTTATAAATTGAGTTCCTTTGTGTTTATTTACGGCTTGGGGCATTGCCCATCTTTACATCGAACTTAAGAACGGCCAGTGTTCGCAGTTGAAGAATGCAGGAATACAACTTGACCGCAGGACCTAACTTAAGTCGAAGAATTTCGGTAAGGTCTGATTGCTGTAGCGAAAGCAGAGCGCTGCCATCGATATCTTCACATAAAAATGACTCTGTTGCCTCAGAGTTTCTCAAAACACATTGCACAAATGCACACGAGTCTTTTGTGGTCCAGAGTAGAGGATTTCGCTTGATGCGTTGCATGTCGAAGGCGACATTACGTTGCCAAATATTATAGTTTTGCTGCAGGCGTGGGCCATAATCGCAAAGAAATTCTTTTGCAATTTTTATTTGCGGTAGCAACAACGACGTAGACTCTTCAGCAGCACTTGTAGTGTCGACCGGATGGTGGGCTCTTAGTGCAGAAGCACTAGGCTTATCAGTGTGTTCTGTTTTAATCAATGATTGCTGCTGTGTTGTCGCTGTCGCAGTGCTAATCCTGTGGGCGCGTAGTTCGACCGTTTGTTTCTGCTGCTGTTTTTCCTGTAAATTGACGTGCCGTGTCTTTATATTGTCCAACAACTGTATGCGCTGCAAAATATGCGTTTCGCTCAGCTGTTGTTTTGGTTGTTGTTGTTTTGGTGTTTGTGGTTTCTTCCATTTCAGTTGAGGTGGTAGTTGTTGCTCTTGCATTTCACGTTTAGCGCGAGATAGTGGACGTATAATCTCCTCATGCTCCAAGCGCGGTGGTTTTTCAACTTTCTGACGCCAATTTTCGGGGGCATATGGACAACAATCTTGCGTTGTATGGGTATTTAGGTAAAGACGTTTAGCGTTGCCGATGCCGCGGCAACCGAAAGTTGAGCATACAATCTTGCTTGAGCGCATTTTGTAGCCCGGTGGTGGTTCTAATTCATGGCCAGTAGCTTCACACCAACCGATCGGATGCAAGTCGGCGCTATCATCTTCCAACCAGAAGCAGTAATTACTAGCCCAGCAATCGAGGTGTAACTTAACACGATGACCTTTGCGACCAACAACTGTAGCGGGACGTATTAGTGAAGGGTTTCGTGGATCGACCACCTCCAACTTCATATTTGGCTTGAAATCGATTGGATCGCGAGTAGAAAACATCTCTTCTGTTGCGGCCATGCCACTGCCATGGTTTTTTATGTAATCAGTCCATGTGAAGGTGGTGTTTTCGAATTCAGGTGGAACAATTAGTTGCTGCCGACCCACATGCCAACCACAAGGATGGATATAGGGTGAGCTGATATCTACCCAGTAATCATAACAGTCATCCCAACCATCGAAATGTACACGTATGCGATTGTCTAATACGTCCGAGACCGAGGCAACGCAAAGCTTGCCCGTGTCGTTAAGATCTTCAGCCTCCAAGTGCATGCCAATCTAAGAAAGTTGCAGACAAAAATTATGTTATAAATAAAATAAATTGTTAAAACAAAAACTTTCATTACGATACTGCTCAACTGTGATAGACAGAATGATAACTGAATAAAATTAATTGTTCTTAAAGATGTTAAAAAAAAATAATATTAACAAATTAAAACAATTATATATCTACATACATATAAGATTAATAAATTATACCTTGAAAGGATTATGTGTGCCGAATGAAGCATTTAAATGTGTAAATAGAATACGCTGCGCTGCGATAGCTTTACATTCTTGTAAATATGCTGGCCAGAAGAATTCTTCTATCGTCTTTCCCTTTGGTGGTTGCAGCACACGTTTGGTTTTTGTGCACCAACCAGGTGGAAAAATGTCCATCGAATCAGCATTTACCCAAAAGTCGTACATATACTCACATCCGTCAAATGTTAGCTTCAAACGATAGCCCTGTATGTCCACAATTGTGCAAACACAAAAGAGTGAACAGTTCTCGGGGTCAATAGCTTCTAGCTTCATGCCAATCTGAAAGCGGTTCGGGCCAGTTGGAAATGGATTGATAAAGAGATTTACAGGTGCGGCAATAGCATTAAATTTTTCTGGCAAATATGTCGACCAACGGAAGGATTTTGTGCTTATAGGTTGAGCAGATATTTCTCGGTTTTTGCGCTTGCGCGTAATGGTTGAAAATTCTTCATGCCGACGTTTACGTGATTCTCGTTTTAAACAATCCAATGAACAAAATTCTAGCAACAAGCATAAAAAGTATGTTATGTAATTATTTTTGGGACCTTAATTTGATTTACTATATTTACCCGGTGCTAAAAAGTCTAGTGCAGGCCCATGACAATTACAACGTCTACACAAGTACAATAGTCCATCGTTTTTTTCACTCAAATACGGTGCCGACTCCCGCTCATAAATGGGCTTCTCGTAAGCAGCGTGAATGCGTGTGCGCGGTGAGCAGCGTTCATTGATCTCGATAAGATTAAATTCATTTAACTGGAAGCGCATATTAGTACCATGTGCACCACCGATACGCTGATTCCATGTCAGCATATTGAAGCTGGCCAACATCTTTAATGCAGACGATAAGGAGTCTTCCGAAGAAGTTGTAGGGACCATTGCAGTGGAAGCAATGCCGGCAGCCGCTGATGTGCTCGGTTGATTTGATCTAAGCGCAGTACTCTTAGAGGTTATTGCATTTGACGAAGTTGGTATATCATCATGTAAGCTTTGCCGACTGGAAGAAGTGGATGCGGAGGATGTCGAGCTGAGGGAGATTTTCTCATCACAATAAAGCGACTTTTCTAATGAATCTTGAGTGTGTTCGACAGAAGTTTGTGTATCATCTCCTTTAGCATCCTTGGACAGTATATCTTCGGTCTCAGTGGTCACGGCCGGTTGCGGTTCTGTTGAATTATCATCTTCATCCATAATGATTTCAATTTTTAGTGATGCTTCTTCGATATGTTCATTTTCGTAACCAGTGTTGATAGGTATTTCGGATGCATTTTCGTCTGATGTAGTTATTGCAGTGGCTGTGTGAGTATTTAATGTTTCTACACTAGTATCATCTTTGAGGATATTTTCTTCATTGTTATCTTCAGTTGGTTTCCCTTCCTTCCCCGCTTGTGTTGAGGGTGTCTTTAACTCATTTTCACACTCATTTTGTTCCTCCATATTCTTTTCGTCTTTATTAGGTTCTATATTTTTGCTTTCTTCATCTGAATCTAGTTTTTGTTGCGCCCCATCCATCAACCCGTGCTCCTCATCAGTATAGTCGATTAAATCGATTATAGTGTATTCTTTTCCGTTAATATCATCCATCGACGCCAATGTTTGCTTACGACGAGGGGGGCTGCTTTTTTGTTTGAGCATTTTACCTTCTGATGCAGTAGAGTGCCGACGCTCTGACAATATATATTTTGACATCAGAGCAGCTTGTTTAGGCTTGATCAAAGTCGCGCCAGCTGGATTTATGACTTCTTTAAACGCGCAACTAAGCGATTTAGAGCGTTTTGAACGTGGACTTGTGCTACACTCAATGATTTGTTGCGTAGGGCGTGATTTAAGGAGTGACTCTTGCTTTTCAACAAGCTTTGCCTGTACCAGAACAGGTTTAGTTAAATCGATTTCTACCTTAAAAGAACTGCTGCTACCCGATGGAGAAGCAAAGGGGCCTGTAGTATTGCTTTGTTTGAAATTCGCACCATCTACCATTGCTTTTGAGCCGCTAGCATTTGGGTTAATAGCCGAGTGGGTTTTAATAACCGATACATTCGTTTGGTTCGACGTTTCCATTACTGAGGTAGCTGAGGTAGATACTGGTGGAGGTATACTTTCACGTGCGTCTTTTGACAAATCCACGTTAAACACACCGGATTCACGACGTATACTCCTAAGGCTTGATCCACTTGAAGCACCAGCTGCGGCTTGAACAGTCTCGGATAAAGGGAGTTTATTGGTAGTCGAACTTTGTAAAATACTTGTTCCTTTAGAAGTAGAATGCAATGCCTTCAACTGTTGGTATTGTTTTTTCAAAGTTTGTGTTGTGCTAGTAGCTGCTGTTGTTGGTATTACCGGTGCTTGAGTAAGTAGTGTTGTGGTCTTGTTGGAGGCATCCTGGTGCTTTACTGGCGCAACGTTGCCTGTGATTGATGGCGATTTTAATAAAGTTTGGGAAGAATTACTTGCAATATTTGCATTTGACGAGGATGCCTGAGTTATTACACTATTTTTCGATGTACTACCAACAACGATTTGTTTAACAATTTCTTGATCTAAAATGGTAAGTGCTCCGGCTTGATGGTCAACATTACTGCGCACTGCAGCACATGCCGTTGTTTTGGTATTTCCTTGAGATTGATATTGTTGGCGGTTGCGTATAAGTATGGAAGCAGGAATCACTATAAAAAAAAAAAAAAAATTGTTGGAGTTGAAATATGCACATATATACATACGTATACAGGTAAACGATAAACGAACAGGTAGTATAGTAAGCGCCTTTAACTAATTACTATTGGAGAAGCCATTGCAACCTATGTCAAAAAGCTGCCACTAACTTAAGAGTGGACTTTATTCCGATTATGATTATGCTCCAATGTTTACAAATGCATAGTAAAATTGTAAGTACGTACATTAGTTTGAAATAATACGTATAACACCATTTTCGTACATAACTATTCGAATTTAATTAAAAAATTTGTATCCGAAAAACCGATCAATAAATAAATATTTGTATGGTCCAACTATATATAACTTAAAATATCAATTGACCTAAACGCCCTGAGCACTTATCACAAAAGTTAAAGTGGTGTTTTTGTCAATATCAAGCCGATTTGTTAGCTCATTCTGAAATAAAGTATTTTCACTTTGAATATTATTGAATCAATTAAAGATAATACATTTGTTTAACGGTTTAAATCTTAAATTTCGCATATTAAAAAGGTGTAACATATGTATTTATTAATTAATCCTGAAGTTTCTATGTATAGGTATTTTTGTATCAGAATAAAAATAATCACATTAACAAATTTTATTGTGTTTTATAATCTCATACCTCTATCTAAACAATATTCCATGTCTAACTCCCGATCGTTACTTATTCTTTAAATTATTACATTGAAATAAACTGCAAAAGTTGTGTGATTAATTAATGTGTAATTATGAAGAGGTAGTTTCGGTTCTTAATCACTCTCCTAATACATATACAGGGTTGTATTTTGAAGTTATCGTGTCTATGCATATTAAGGTAGTCGAATGGTGTTTTCATACCATCATTAAAAATATTTCATTTAATTTGGAATTTTTATTTCTATTTTTTTATAGCAATACAAGTACATATTAAAATAATTCAAGAAATATCAATGGAGACTAAATATGAACATAACATTAATTAAAAGAATCTATTGTAAATACTTTGCAGTAACAAATATTTTATTTAAATCAAAGGGAATTCACATCTACGTAAAAATGCAAGTTTCGCCAAGTGGATATGGAAGCAAAAATACTTATTTGCTATGAGAACTGGCTTTTTTGCTTCCATTTTTTTACATATGTATGTACATATGTACATATGCACATAAGCAAGAACCAACTAAATATATATGTACGTACATACATATTGCCAATTTCTTAGATTTTTTTAGCACTTCGCGAAGTATGTACTTACATATGTATGTACCTACATAGATGGAAGCAGAGAATAACTTAAAATCGATACTGGACAAAACACTAACCGTCATTTTAAGAGAAATTAAATCATTAGTCTACTTCGAGAATAATATGAAATTTCTAAATTAGGCAATGATAAGATCAGGAATGAATAATTAACAAAACCATCTTAATTCAAAGATTTATGTATTTTGTTTTGTAAGTCGCTTAAAACAGTAAATGCCCAAAAATCGGAACTACGGTTTTGCTTGCTTTATAAAACAAAGACTTTTCCAACTTTATATTGAAAATTTGTTCACCTTTTTATATTTAATTATACTTAAGAAAGATATATAAATGCTTATAACCTATGCATTATATATATTCACAAAACTCCTACGAATTGAAACTTTACGCAATATAATTAGTGGTTTCTAACAATATAGTATATTAAAGAATGAACATATACATACGTCAAATAAAATTTAAGTGTTTTAAAATTAATCACGAATCCCCTTAATGTATAACCTGGAAAACGTTTACTTTTCATAAAATAAACTTTCTTTTTTGTGGCACCACAGAGTCCATGGTGATGTTAAGGTCATTTAAGTACTTATGCTGAGTTAGGCAAATAATACGCTAAGGAATAATTCGGAAGGAAAGTCTAAAATTAAAAAAAGTAGGTAAATGATCATTGCCAAATCGTCAATGGCATAACCGACAGTAGCAACAAAATCGTATTCGCACTGCATTGGATACGACTCTACTGTAGCAAAAGTACATACAACGATATTCATATGTACATATGTATATGGGTACATGCATGTATTACATAACTAATCGAACACACAAAATGGCAGCTACGAAATATACTTAAGTTGAATATTTTCAAGCAAATAAAAGCTTATTATACTGATGAAGAGTTACTCATTTTCAGAAAATATTTCTGGTCTTTATCCAAATACTTAAATTCATAACTTTCACTTAATAAAACAAAAGTTCTATGAAACTTACCCGAATTAGGTTGTATATCCACTTGTGGGCCTCCGGCTACTCCCGTAGTAAAGACTGTATTATTGTTGCCGGCTGAGATTACATTACCACTTGTTCCAGTTAGAATGACATTAATTGGCACAGCAGTTCCAGATCCCGATGAGATAGAGTTATTTTGAATACCAGTTGGTATTAGGAAGCTGGTTGTATTAGGTTGGCTATTATGGGAACTGGAAATTACGCTGATCATAGGCGAAACAGATGTTGTCGACTGTTGCATTGTACTTAAATCGCCAACATTGGCAGAAAGTGGTGCAGGAGCAACACCTGATGAAATAAATGAAAGCTGTGGTATAAGAGTTAAAGTGCTGCTATTGTTTGCATTAGTTGTTACAACATTGCAGGTGGTGGGGTTTGTAATCCTTGTACCGCTATTATTTGCACCGGCTACATTCACACTGCCAGCTATTCCAGATCCATTTATTTGCAATGGTAATAACTGAAGCACCGAGTTCCCACTAAAATGCGAAGCATACGCTTGTTGCGTCTGATGCAGATTCTGATGCTGAACTGGTAAAACAGCCGAACCACTTGGTGGTGTTGATGTAATGTTATTATTCATAATAAAAGGAATAAAATGTAATTTTCTTTTCAGATAGCCCCGAGATATTTGCTGGCGCAGTAACTGCACCAACAATATCTAATCCGGCAGTTGAACAAGTTGACGACTCCGCTGTGAACTTGTAAACTAGGTAATGACTGCACCAAGTCTGATCCAGGTTAATCAAAATTTAAGTTTTTTTTTTTTATAAATGTATTCTTTAACACATCCACCAAGTATTTTTCTTCAGACGGTTGGAGAATAGTCTATTGCCACACGTTGACGTAATTGTTAATATTCTTTTCGCGTGAGAGTTTCACTAATATGTATTGAATAAATGAATTTTTAATCACTCAGTTTTGGAAGATTTTGCGTTTTATATCCGGAAGTATTCTGGATGCTTTTGAAAATGTCTCGCTCCACTCCTCTGAACCGCGGACGGATTAAAACGAACAAAAAATTATGGCAGCAGCAATGGCAACGCTGCTGCGACGTTGACTGCGACGCGAAGATCGGGTTGCAGTGCTGCGTTGCAATTTTTAAAAATCTTACCGGCCTGCGGGGATGCCAAATTCGCGCCCTGGTATATTGCTTATTTGAGATAAATGTACAAAATTATTATATTAATAATTTGCCGCTGGTTCTTAAATTTACAGAGTTAACTTCTCATTGACTATGAAAAATGATAATGCCTTTATGAGAAAAAAAGCATGGTCAATATTAAATCTACAAGCTATTCGCTTTGTGCTATCTTGTTGCTTTTGCTGTAGGTAGGGCAATTTCGTATGATTGCCAGTGTTGCTTTCTGTGCGTACGCTCGTTTAGTACTCTTTTCTTTGTATTTTGTTATTGGCTTGCCCTGGTCGCAGTCGCTGCGCGTCTTCAAATAGCTCTGCAGCAGAGGAAGTTGTTGATTAAGCTTTTACTGCAAAAATTTTAATGTTCAATGATTTTAATACGTTTATTAAGAATGTACGTTTTATATCGTTCTTATTTATTGTTAAAGCGAACGCGGTCTACGCTCGCTGATAAGNAAGCTTTTACTGCAAAAATTTTAATGTTCAATGATTTTAATACGTTTATTTTTTGTTATTAAAACTATTAAGAATGTACGTTTTATATCGTTCTTATTTATTGTTAAAGCGAACGCGGTCTACGCTCGCTGATAATTAGATGGGACAAGTGTTGCCAACATCTTTGCAATATCCAGGGCTCATGATGAAAACTAAACTTCATTGCTGTTTTTTGCTCTCAACGGACAAGTATAAACTTTTACATACATGTGTATTTACATATATAAATATGTATATTCGAATACCAACAACACTATTATTTATATAAAACAGTATATTTTCATCTTGAATGAAAAAGCTTTTTATATCCGGGAGTATATTCATATGGCTATGATGTTGGAAATTGCATTACCTAACCTATAAATTTTCTTGGTCTTAAATATGTGGAATCAAATTTTCCAACCATATTCTTTCAAAGATTTATAATCTTATAGGAACCCATATTTTGTGTTTTAATTTTGAATTTGCAGGATTATGTTCATATGTACTTAAACATAAATGAATTTATTGATGTACAACAGATAGGTAGTATGTATATAGGCAAATGCATTTGCGTATGTATATTGTATATTGCATATTTTGAATTTTTACAGTTCTTGTTAAGGACGGTAAGGACTAAAATTTTATTGATTGTAAATTTTTGAGAAATAACATAAACTTTCCTGGAATATACTGCTAATTTGTATGCATTGCGCTTTATATTCACATTTGCATATGCATATATACATACATAAATATGTATGTATGTACACATGTTTGTACGCATGCATGTAAATATGTATGTACAGATGTGTACATATGTGTGCAAAAAAGTTACGAACGTAATTACGACTGTTTTCCATAATATCACTTTTGTATTTAAGACTTAAAATCGTTTTTCTAAAGTATGTACTTTCATGACGGTTTTACTCAGCAAGAAGAACGAATAATTGACCTTCATATGACGCCGTTGGAAATATTTCAATGTTACTAGCAGTAATGAGTCGACATCAACAAAAAGTTTGTTGTTGGAGCACAATAAAGCACTGTCCGAAATAGTAGAGAAGCTAAATTTCGTAGTATTGCAACCGTTTTTCAATCCAAAATGTTAATAACTTGATAAACTTGCGCTCACGTGCACTTTTACTCATTTTACATCCAAATAATAAAGGAATTTATGCTTATGCACATGTAAATACATATGTATGTATGTACATACATATGCGTTTATTGCCCATTTGTAAAACGAATTGGTGACCAAAAGGCAATGCCAATTATGGCACACAAAAACCATAAACTGGTTTACAAACGCATATTGGCACAATTAAATACCTTCATGCAAAGATGAATACTAGCGGTCTATATATAAGAATATCATTAAGTAAGTTATCACTCAATGTACTGTAGCAGTAATTATTTCTATCCATTGCATTACATAACGTAATATCCCATTTGTAGACATGTTTTTAAAACCTCGAAGTAATTTTCAGATTGCTACATTGTGCATTGCATAGGTTAAAAATATACGACACATTTTAGGGAGGCTTACCTGTTTGGTAGGATGTTTTTAACACGNGTAATATCCCATTTGTAGACATGTTTTTAAAACCTCGAAGTAATTTTCAGTTTGCTACATTGTGCATTGCATAGGTTAAAAATATACGACACATTTTAGGGAGGCTTACCCGTTTGGTAGGATGTTTTTAACACGTTTTTTTTATTTGGAATACTTCGTGAACTAAGAGATGAATAGTTGCGTTCCAGATGTTTCCCGATTTGCAGGTTTTACAGGAATTGCAGGAAAAGCTGCATTAATAAACCTTATTGAAGGTGGCCTCCTGGAACGGCTTCCTGTAAAAACCTGCAAATCGTGAGGCATCTGGAACGCAACGAATTAATTTGTTTAAAGTAGGAGCAGTAATATGTGCACATTAATATGTATGTACACATGTGCGTATTTTGGCATGGTATGTACATATGTGCGTACGTGCAGATATAAGCATTTGCAGGGTACCTCGCTTTCTCAAAGTGTTTTAAGAATTTCCTTAACGTACTTAACTAATTTATTCAAAATCGCTAAAATAATATTGATATTCTATGGCAGACAAAAAAATTTTAACAAAAGCAAAAAGGATTCACCAGAGAAAAGCGAATATATGTAAATATTTTATTTCAATTAATATCAAACCAAGTTCCATTTCCCAGATGATAAATTTCTACTTTCAGTAACCATTACATGATTCCATACTTACTTTGTATTCTATTATTTGCATATACGGATGAATGCTTGGTGCGTGCTATTGTTGATCATTTGTTACGTGTTAGCGTCAGAACTTTTCAAATCCATAAAAAACAAATAAAATTATAACCCTTTGGAGTAAGCAACATATGTACATTTGTATAGGATTATTTTAGATATATTACCCGTGGTTTAGTCGCGCACAAATCCCATGTTTAGGATGCAAGTACGCCTTTTTTTCCCGGAGTGAGTCTCTTCGCCAACAAACACACACCTATTAAAAATTTAACTGAAATGTATTGGAGGATTTTCTATGATAAACAATGTATTAACCTTATGCACTTTTCTCAATTTTAATTATGAAAATCTCGTTCATCAAATCCTCTAGGATGTTTTGGTTGCTTTTTCTGCTGGAACAAAAAAATCTAAACGAAATTAAACAACATCAACGCCGTTGTAAAATTCTGCTAAATACTACTGTTGATAAGAAGAGCAACGCGTCGAAAACTAGAAGCGGCAGAGGAACTACACGTCGAGCAGAGCACGTTGACGTTTTTTAACACAACACAGCAACCCGAGCAATTGCAGACACCAAAGTTTAATTAATAAAATTGTGCTAACTGAAACAATGAAATATTTATAATTTGCTATATATTGCAACAGATTTGATACACATGCTAGCATATACATACATACATATCGTTTAATACAATAAAGTTAAGTTTTTAGAATGCATGGTTAAATTTTAACTGCGGCAACACTGGTGCTAAATGCATGTTGGGTTAGTTTTGCAAATTAAAATTTACTTGTTTTAAACTCTTTTAGGAAAAGTATTACTCTTCAATGGAAAGCATATTAATTTACAAAGAATAGTAAAAGTTTTAAAAGCTTGAAAAGGTTGTCTCATTGCATTGAAATAGTAGTTTACGCCATATTTGAACACTTCCGCAGCACAGCGGAACACATACTTACATCCGTTTTATAATTTATGCGTGCACACTTTACTTTTCTCTCATTCATAAGCATATAAACGTGCACTAAAGTTCGTATTTCTAAATGCTTTAAAATGTTGTTAAATGCCTCGAAACGTATAAAGTTTTGGTTTGGTCACAATTTCAGCCAAATATTTACATGCTTTTATCCAAAGCTATAGGTGAATGTATGTATTCTTGCATGGTGATTTTTAGTCCGAATGACAAGCAACTCTGCAACTGTCAAATAAAAAAAAAAAAAAAAAACAACAGCCGATTTAGTGACTGGATGTTGACAACTATAGTTTCTTAAGTTAGTGAATTTTTTTCTACATTGTTTGGAATATAAATAAAATTGATCAACAACTTCCGCTATTTGCGATATCACTGCATCATTACCATTATTCAGCGTTATTAACATAACAATATAACGCTTAACTATTCGCGTTTTCAAGTCATTATCCAAAAAGTATGTCACTAATCGATAAACTACAAGAACCTGATGACAACATACCGCTGGCCGATGAGGACACACAAGGTATTTATATGGTAAAATTTTATAGATTTTCTAAACAAAAGAAAAATTATTCTTTAGTTATCATCAATGACGATGACCCACATCAACATAATATCCCAAATGGTCGCTCAATGGATTCACTTCGTTCATCGTTTACTAACCGTAGCACCACCCCTGACTCATCACATAACTCTTTAGAAACTGATGTCAGCCCTGATGAGAAGGAGGAAAAAGCTCGCCTTATTACACAAGTGTTAGAACTGCAAAATACACTCGACGACCTTTCACAACGTGTCGATTCCGTTAAAGAGGAAAATTTAAAGTTGCGTTCTGAAAATCAAGTTTTGGGACAATACATAGAAAATTTAATGTCAGCTTCTTCAGTATTTCAATCAACAAGTCCAAATGCGAAAAAGAAGTGAACAGCTTCAGCGTTAGATATCGAAGATCCATTTGAACCAAAAAACGCTATGCGCCTTAAGTTGGTTTATACTTTTTTTTTGAGTTTATGACCAAATACGAGCAAATATAATCTTAAAATTACTTATACTAACAGGGAATTTACATGATTCAACTTTCACAGGCGATTAGTTGAACCAAAAGTTGAACGAAAGTAGGCAGCCGACAGACTTCATTGAAAGCGATTAGTTGAAAGGCCGTTTACGTCAGGCGATTGTTGCTTTAAACTAAAAATCGCCTCCTGTAAATTCCCTAGTATGTATGAGTTTCGAAGCATGTTAGTAAACTTTGTTCATGTAACCTATTGATATTCACCTAAAAATAGTTTCATTACATTTCAAATCCATATCGATGGTCCCATGCAATAACGACACAATTAAAAATTCATATTACTTACTTTAGTAAGGTTTAGACAAGGATTAGAGACATGAGCCACTTAACAGTAAGGATTTTTTTAGTTGTCATTGCAGAGCACCATCGATATGCAAATATTGCATTCATGCATTAGCTAACGTTTTCGAAAGAACGCTCCATTTATTTATAATCAACATTTATGCATTATGTATGTATATTTTTTTTTATATATATTACAGCTAAACACACATAAAACATTTGCTACGCGATATCAAATAAAATGCCTTTTTCTGAAGTTGGTTGTTTGAGTTCAAAGAGGATAGACAGAAAAAAGGAAGACTAGGAATATAAATTAAGTATTGGTTTGATTAGGGTTAGCAGTGCAACCTCAGTTAGGTTTGACGACGCTATTACGATTATGAATAGCAACTATAGTCAAGTACTATAATGTCGAAGTACAAGCAACCAAGGCTTGAGTTTAAAGAAGCTGCAGAGTTGAGCAAATAAATATTTTTTTAATAAAAATTTCTGCAGCCTCAACTCCATAAAAATGCACCTGTTAATAAAGCAACTCAATAGCTAATTGCCATCTACGTATAACACCATTCCAGCCACGTTCCCACGACAGTCGGGTCTACGTAACCGGCACGAATCAGATTTATATCTGGCCAAGGACTGTCACTCCAGCAACACTCCCCAAAAAGTCTTTGGGGAATTTGTATGCTGCTACAACAACAACAACAACCATTCCAGCCACTTGCAACGCAACTGAAGCTCGTTCGCAATGCGTAGTCGACAGCAATAAGTATGTAATGTAAACAAAATTATAATTATGTATGTATATACAAATTATTGTTATTAAAATTATAATTAAAAAAATTATAAATAATATTAATATTATAGTTATTAAAGTTATAATTATGCATATAGAATTGGGAAATACATTTTTCTCAAACGTTTGAAAGTGTGTTTGCAGGTTATCTACATATTGCACCTTTGCTACAAGTGTCATCGAGTCTTCATCTATGTTGCCGTTTTTCTCGAGTTTTTAAATTTTTGGATCATGCCACTTCTGCAGCAAAGGTGCGACGATATTTATTTACAAATTTTTGCATTATGGCTTTGCTTGGGTTGATGTAAATCGGAGTTTTCCTGTTACGTAGACCCAACTGCATTGGGAACGTAAGCTACTTTGTAAAGTTAATCCATAATTTTCAAACAATCGCTTGAAAGCCACTGTAATAGATCTCTCTAAGTAAAAACACTACTTTCTAATGGGNCACGAACAAACGGCTGTTTGGACGAGACGAACGCTCGTTTCGAGATAGAGAATCAGGCTGTAAATTTTTGGATCATGCCACTTCTGCAGCAAAGGTGCGACGATATTTATTTACAAATTTTTGCATTATGGCTTTGCTTGGGTTGATGTAAATCGGGGTTTTCCTGTTACGTAGACCCAACTGCATTGGGAACGTAAGCTACTTTGAAAAGTTAATCCATAATTTTCAAACAATCGCTTGAAAGCCACTGTAATAGATCTCTCTAAGTAAAAACACTACTTTCTAATGGCTTCAAACTTACGGTTATCAGCCACATTATATACATTTATTATATATTTTTTTTTGTACATAACACAGTACGTATCAACTTATGATTATTGATTATATTAGGGTCCATTGTATTTTAAAAGATATCTTTTACAAATTAAACTAAAGCTTTAATTTTATTAATATCTATTGTTATGTTGCCCATAAGGATTATACCTTTGGAATCTGTTGTTATGTTGTCCACCTCTCTGCTGGTGTTGTTGATTATTCCGGTAATTATTTCCGCCAGAATTGTTGCCAAAATTGTTTTGGTAATTATTATAACCAGATCGAGATTGGAAATTTTGTTGGGGATTCGGTCCTCGAGGATATTGCCCCCTGTTATTTCCACCCGTGTTATAATTGGGTCTGCCCAAGTTGGCTTGTAACATTCTATGACCCCCTGCACTCAAATGTCCAGTTGGGAGGTTTCTGTTGAATCCTATAATTGGTCGATTGTGTCCAGACTGTCCTCCTTCTGAATTTGAGTTAAGTACGTTTGGAGGATCTATTGCGTTAGGCAACCGTTTGGCAGGAAATATGAATTCAATGTCATATTCAGGATCCCGGAAGCGTACTGTAATAAGCTCGTTGGATGTTATATTCGGCAGTCCATATATTGGCGATTTAAGTGAACCTTGAATTTTTACATTATCTTCAGCTTTTAAAATGCTACCACCCATTCCTTCCAAAACAACAGAAATTTTTTGCTCCATAGATGAAAGTGATTTCAGCTGATGCTTAAACCATTCAAACTTAGGGTGCAATTTTCCAATATAAAGGCGATTATCTCCGCGTTTATTACGTCGAATCTCTTCTTCAGTTAATTTACTATAATACGGTTTTAGAGCTTTAAAAAGCCTCCGTTCGTCTACAAATGGAAGCAAGGCCACGCCCTGCCAAGCAAATTTTTTGCCATTTAAATCAATTTTAAAATCTTCAGGATAAAAGTCAATAATTGGTGAATCCGGATCGGACATTAGAGTAGCCCATGGCTTTGGTACATGTGACGAGCTGGCTGCAGGAAAGACACCCATCAATTGTTCAAGCGGATTAAATGGTTTTGTACCTCTGTCAAAACTTGTCGACAAACCCGTTATGTTTACAAAATCTGAAGCAAAGGGTGCATAATGGTAAGGAAAATACCAATCCCACGAAGCACAACCTTGATAGTAATATTTTAGTACCCAGCATAGCCCACGTACATACTGCAAAGCAACAGAGTAGCGAAAGCCGGGGTTATTTGTACCCACGTCGAATTTAGATTCATAATAGCGATTTTTGAAGCCTGCTTCATATAATCGGACTTCGTCGTTATCATCTTCTTCAGAATCGTTATCAAGCCCTGCTTCGGCAGCTGTCCTTTTAACTCCTTTATTATTTTGCATTCTTAATTTCATAGCTTCTTCCTTGTAATTGAATGCACCGCGTTGTGAGCCTGAAGCTCCTCGATTTACAGCGCTAGGTTGAAAGAACGTTGACGCGCCAAGACTTTCTGCTCTATATTCGTTTTCACGCTGACGCTTTTGACGTGCTTTAAATTGTTGTTCACGTCGCTGTCTCTCCTTGAAAATGTTATCTTCAACATTGCCCAAATCAGTTAGTATCATTTGTACCCTCTGCAAATTCACATCGCCTGAATTTGTTAGATATCCACCAGTTTTATAGACACATTTTTTATAAAGCTCTACTAATCGATCCACTGCGCCTTCACGAATTTCAAGACTCGGTAAATGTGGTAAAAAATCATTGCCAACAAAGAAGCACATAAAAACCCAGTCATCCAAAGCGCGCTCAAAGTCATACTTGAATGGCAAATTCGGCATTTCCAAAGTTTTTTTTAGGTATTCCCGAAGAACACTTAAACGTACAAATATGAATCTCACTTCAGCATTTATTGGAACATCGGGTTTAAAGCTTTCATCATTTGAGCTACCTGCATTGCCTAGTCCCACACACTTTTGCATCTCATGTCCATATTGTTTACATATGTCACAAGGACGAGGTTTGTTGGGTAAAAATTCTTCTCTTATAATGGTAAAATTAGGTTCATGTGTGGCCAGGCCCAACATAATCAAATCGGCATCTGCACCACACAAAACATGTTGTGTATTTGGATCGTGATCTGGTTGAGCCCTTTGTTTCCGAATGTAGTCCATTATTTTGTGTTCACCTTCTCCGGGTGCATTGGCATCTGACAATACAACTTTTATGCCTTTCCAGGCAGGGTTTGTATTCATTCGGTCGTGGATGTAATAATGTAAACATTTACTTAATCTATCCATAAACGGCGTACCTGGTGTTATACAATTGAATCGAAGTGCTCCTCATCAGTCTTTTCAGGCGGTAGTATACAACCTTTGACTAGAAGCTCATCTCGTATCTTTTGTATCTTCGACGCGTTTTTCATTTGCTTCCTTGGCAGCCCTGAAACGGCGCGATCTTTGCTGATTCATTTTGGCTCTGGGCGCCACTCCGTCAATGGCCATATATAACAATTTGCGAGGACGAACAATGCCAAATAAGCGATCAATACATTCAAATATCGCTACCATCATTTCGTCTTCATTCTTCGGAGCGGGCTTATCTTCGGGATGAGTCATGGATGTATTATACCATTCATATCTAAATATAAATTATCAAACTCAATCCCATTAGGGTTGGGGAGAGTGGCGTCTTCGTATATAGCTTTTCCAGTGTCTGGATCCGTAGTCTTATTTTCGTTGCAATCAACTATAACACACGCATACTTCTTACTTAACCACCTAAAAAAAGCCGGAACTCCCATTCTGGCACTATATCAACTCGAAAATTTTTGTGGAAAGTGAAAAAACGAGGAAATTAATACTTAACCAAACAAGCGGACAACCTGGACAAGAACAATTATCAATTATCAATTGTGAATGGTTTTGCTAGCACTAATCGCAACCAACTTCGCGTAAGTAACGTCCGCAATTCATGATAATAGCTTTGTTTCTCAACTGATAATTATCACTAATTTCTACTGGAAAGCGTTTCTTAACCCAAAAAACTAGCAGAAACTAGCAGCTCTCTCTCGATCTTACGCTCTTCTTTTTTCGGCTCTCCTGCTAATTTCTGCTACTNCAAATGAAAATATGGCTGTCAAACTATCGAATTGCCTGCAATAGATGTCAAGCAATAAGCGCTGACATATATTGCAGCACATGAGAAATAGGCGGTCTCCATTGGAAATATATTTTGTGACATAGTTTTCACGACATCAGTGTTTTCCTGTGGAGACAGGGCCTTAGGACTGCTCGACTATACTAGAAAGTCGACTAGTCGACGAAGAAAAGTCGACTTTTTCGACTTTTTATAAAAACAAATTTATTAAGTATAAGTATTTAGTATATAAAAACAAGTTTATTAAGTATACTCTGCGTTTAACTTGTGTGGGCATTTCTCAGAAACTTTGAATTTTTTTGTGATTTTTTTTTTATCGCGAGCACATGTCTGAAATTACATCTCTTTTTTTAAGTGTACGTTCCTTCAGCTGCTGGAATACAAAATCCAACGTGGTGCAACGTTTTAAAGCAAGGCACCATACGTTTTTAACCTATTTTACGCCTTTTTGGGCGTAATTTTAGTCCGATTTCGAAAATTTTCAACAAATAGCTTTTTTATGCAAAGGTCAATAATTGAACTCAGTTTGGTACAAATTGATAAATGGGTTACCCAGATACACATACAATGAACCAAATAAAAACTGGGATGCGACATTTTAGTAAGTTTTGGCTATCTTCCTTTAGTTTATTTAATGTTTATAACTGAAAAAATTATGAAAAATATGCAAAGTTTGACCAAACTTACTAACTTTTCTTAGCATATTTAGACAAAATTTTGGTATTCATATTTGTGGCCCATCAAATTTTAGCAAGCAAATTGCAAATTTTGAGTATCTTGGACT